GGTTCTCAACCTTCCAATGTTATGACCCTTTAGTACAGTTCCTCATGCTGTGGCGACTCCCAACCATAAAGTTATTTTCATTGTTACTTTACGGCTGTAATTTTGCTACTGTTATAAGTCATAATGTGATTTAATATAAATGTAATCTGATAGGCAGGACATGACATTTGACTCCTGTGAAAGGATCGTTCCTCAAAGGGGTGGAGACCCACAGGCTGAAAACTGCTGCTCTGATGGAGCTGAACAGAGCTCCCTCTCCTTTTTGAGACAGGGTCTCACTGTGCAGTCCTTGCTGCCTGGGAACTCACTCTGTAGCCCAGGCTGGCCTTGAAGTCACAGAGATCTGCCTGCCTCGGCCTCCACGGGCTCGGATTAAAGGTGATCACTGCCAAGCCTGGCTCGTGACACAGTCCTTAACTGGAGGGATACTCTGTGACCACAATGAAAAGGGAAAGGTCCTGACTGCCTTCCTGCTATGACTTAAGGATCCCTGTCTGAGGAACCAGCATCACAACTGAGCCATGACCATCCATCCACCAGTCACTCAGAACAGCTTGTGGGTTCATCAGGCACCGAGCGGCTCAGCACTACACCCGCCACTCCTCACCCCTTCTCTCACTGTGCATTCGCAACTAGGACTCCGAGGAAGGACTTGAGCAGGCAGAACTTAGCTGGACTGCAGCACGCGCCCTTCAGCTCCCCAGGACCCACGGCAGACTTGTTCCTTGAAGACCTGCAGCCCACACAGGCCCAGCTCCCTCCTCCACACTGACGGTGCCTCAGGAGGCCATGAGGGCGGCCACTGAGTCCTCACCCACACAGCCGATGGTCACCACACCGTCCTTGTAGCGCTCCCTCGAGGGGCCCGTGGGCTCCATCGCCGAGTCCGTCTGCTGCTCCACCAGGACTGCGGGCCCATCGTCCTCTTCTTCTTCCTCCCCAGAGCCATTGCCCCAGGAAGCCCCGGCCACATCCCTAGCAATCTTCTCACGCCAGCTGCTCAAGTCCACTGCTCGAAGAAAAAGAAGAAAATAAATGGTTTCCCTCACCCCAGGCCTCTATGGATAATGCACAGCTGATGTCACCAGCATTCCTAAAAATCACAGCAAAGCCAGTGCGTCCTGGAAATCCCCAGTCTCCACTGGACCCCACTCTGGAGTTAGACATCTCTTCTTTAAAGCCTCTAAGAAAACTGGGGGGAACTCAAGCCATGGGGGCTCCCGTCCACCTCCTGCCTCTGTCCTGCCCACCACAGAGGCTGCTCCTTATTCCACAACTTTCCTAGACATGTGTAATAGAGGGATATGGAGAAGGGAACCCTGGAGCGGCCCCCAAAGCCTTCCACAGGCCCCTCCCAGGGCTCCATACCTTTCCCCACAGTGATGGCTTCGCAGGCTCTCAGCAGCTGCTCTGGCCCCAGCGCCCGAGTCCATCCTCTCCCCCGCCTCCGGTTCTTCTTCAAGACTGAGATAAAAGGGTGAAGATGCATCGCATCTCTCCTACCACCCTGAAGCCTCAATCAGGGGCCTTTGCCAACACGGTCCTCTGTCCGCTTACCCGCGCCACTCACCCCTCCCCACAGCCCACTCACCAGGCTCCTGCGGAGCTCTAGTGTCCCGAGGGAAGGAGGTGAACAGGACAATGTGCAGCTGGGGGTAGTGCTGGTGAAAGTAATGCTTCCAGGCAACCACGAGGGACGGCGGGGCCAGGTCCACCTTGTTCAAGACCAGGATCAGGGCCAGCCCAAGTTCTCCAGTTACATACTCATAAAGTGCTGGTGGAAAGTTCACAACCTGTGACAGAGTTGGTGAGAAGTGACCCCCGAGTCTGCTGGCTCCAGCTCCCCATCACCCGCACAGCAAAAGACGCAAGGCCCTGGCTCAAGTAGCTACAGTAAGGGCGAAAATATAAACCAGCCACACTGGACAAGAAAGGCCACGCAGGTGTGACAGCCCGGACAAGTCTCAGGGTGCTTCCTGCAGGTCATGATGAGAGAGAGACAGAGAGAGAGCATGCTGGCCAGCATGGGAATGGCAGGCTATGCTAAGAGATGAATAAAACACTGAGTTCCTCAGAATGGGGTACAGCTTAGTAGTAAAGCTCAGGCCCAGCACATGCCAGGCCCCTCAGCAGAACAAAATGAAAGGAAAAGAAAAGAAAGTACTTCTGACTTTTATATTAAGGTATAAAAAGGGAAAAAGAAAGAAAGCCGCAGTAACCGGGCGGCGGCGGCGGCGGCGCACGCCTTTAATCCCAGCACTTGGGAGGCAGAGGCAGGAGGCTCTCTGTGAGTTCGAGGCCAGCCTGGGCTACCAAGTGAGTTCCAGGAAAGGCGCAAAGATACACAGAGAAATCCTGTCTCGAAAAAAAAAAAAAAAAAAAAAAAAGAAAGAAAGCCGCAGTAACCCCAGCGCCTGGAAAGGAGGACAGGAGGATCCCTGGGGCTATGTGGTGAGCCCGGGCCCGGTAAGAGATCCCACAACACAAGGTGGCACGGCGCCGTCTCTGAGGAAGACAGCCAAGGCTGCCCTCTGGCTTCACGATTCCAAGCACACGTCCTAGAAAGGGAATGGCCAGCCCCTGGACACACACTCACCAGAGAACTGAGAAAGACCCTCTATTTCCCCACTCCGCCTCTGACCACCCCACTAGTGTCTCCCTTACAGACGTTCCAAGCACTCACCGGATGTCGGATGTCAGTGATGAGCAAGACGATGTCAGACATCTCCAACACCCGCCACAGCTGCCTCCATGTCTGAAAAGATCAGAGGGGAATGGATATGGCCAGGGTCCTTCTCCTGCCAGCACAGGACACTACCTAGGAGCACAGCACGTCAACTCCCGACCCCACTCCACTGTCACCTCCAGATTGTGCTCAAAGTAGCTGAGTTTCTCCGAAGCGAACGCGCCATGTATCTTCCCAAGGTATTCCTGGAAGCTCCGCTCCTCTTGGCTCATTAGCTGTTCCTTGGACATCTCATAGTTCCAAGGAGGACGGCGGGGAAAGTCCAAGACTGCAAAATGAGGAAAAAGTCCGAACAAGCATCAGGACTCTGTTTTCTTTCTTTCTTCTTTGAGACAGGGTTTCTCTGTAGCTTTGCACCTTTCCTGGAACTCACAGAGATCCGCCTGGCTCTGCTGGGATTAAAGGCGTGCCTCACCATGCCCGGCTATTCTTTCTTTCTTCTTACTTTATCTATTTATTTATTTATTTATTTATTTATTTATTTATTTATTTTTGAGACAGGCTTTCTCCTGTGTAACAGCCCTGGCTGTCCTGGAACTCGCTCTGTAGACCAGGCTGACCTAGAACTCACTGAGATCCTTCTGCCTCCCAGGTGCTGGGATCAAAGGCGTGTGCCACCACCAGGCGGCGTGGGTTTTTTTTATTTTGTTTTTCAAGACAGGGTTTTCCTGTGTATCCCTGGCTGTCCTGGAACTCACTCTGTAGTCCAGACTGGCCTTGAACTCAGAGATCCGCCTCTGCTGGGATTGAAGGCATGTGCCACCACCACCCGGCTAGGACTTTTTTCAAACTCCAACATGCATCTCGAGCCCTCCTTTCCTCGCAGCCGGCTGGTTCCCCAAGCTGACAGCAAACCCCAAGTAACCCTCACTCACCTGAGCCAGGCTGATAGACTTCCCGGATATCCAGCTCGAGCATTTCAGCACTGACAGGCTGCAACACTTGCTCTCTGGCTGCTCTCTTTCTCCTCTCCACCTCCTCCCGGCTGTCCCGTTCAAAATGCAGCCGGTATCTAAGGGAAGAGGGACCACACATCTCATCGTCTCCTCTCCAAAGCAGGCAACTTTGCAAAGCCTCCTCCCCTGGCTGTTCAGGTCTCTCCTCTCGGTTGGCTCTTCCCCCGACCCCCCAATTCCCCCGAAAACAAAGTCTTGACAGCCCCCGGGAAAGCAAGATTGTGGCCCATCCCTGAGAGAACCACCGTGGCTTCCGGCCTCACTAGCTCCACTTCCAAGCCTTCCTCGGGAGCTCTTCCAGGGCAGGGAAGCGGGGGCCAGCGCCCTTCTCCTCCGCTCACCGGTTGGGATCGTAACCTCTGGGCCCCAGCCCCTGGGATGGTTGCTGGTTGAGCCTGCGGATATGATGGGTCACGGATTCCCCATCCGAGGTGTCGGTCTGCTCCTCCCGCCGCTCCCGGCTCCCGCTGCGGCTGTTGGAACTGGAGCGAAGCCCATCTTGGAGCCCTGAGGGGAGGGACCGGTGACGCCGGTGCAGACCGGTTCTCGGGACACCCAAAGCCCCCCGAGCCGGTAGGACAAGCTCTTCTTCAGCCGCCCCAACTTCTCCGGAGGCTCCATCCTCCCAACTGCGCGCCCCAGGTCCCTCCCGGGTGGGCCCGCAGGGTCGTCACAGAGTCCCGGGGGCACCGGCGGG